CCCCAAAACCCCAAAACCCCAAAACCCCAAAACCCCAAAACCCCAAAACCCCGAAGAAAGAAAATAGTATAGAAAGTTAACATTTTATAGAATGAACTATTTTTAGGCGGTAGACTTTTTCCTCAATATTTGATGATTATAGAACATCAGTTTCATCAAGACCCATCTTTAACTCCTCAATATCAATCTTAAGCGAAACTTTCCCAGCTTTAGCATTCTTACCTTCTGTGTAGCTTATCATTCCATAGTTTTCTAAAGTCTTTAATCCATTTCAGAAATCAGACATGCTCGAGTTTAACAACCCAAGTTTCCCCAAAGTTCTAGAATTAGCTGCGAAAAGCTCAGAGACCTTGAAGTTTTTGTTGATGCTATTCTTCTCATCGAACACATAGACAAGAGTCTTCAGAGTAACTATAAGCTGGCTTGGAAGTGTCTTGATAATATCCATGCTTTTTATCGCCAACTTGGTCTTACAGAGATATACAATCAGCTTTACGTCTGCTTTGGGATCATTAATGTCTATCTTGAAATTATCTATCGAAGGCTTCTTGTCTGGAGATGCTTGTTTGCCAGGAGGTAACAACGAACTCTTGTCATTCTTGTTTTCCTCAAGGTGAGTAGATTCACTGCTTACTCAAGAGTCATCCTTATCTTTTCATTTAATAGCTTCTTGTCTGTACTGTAGAGTTAAATGAGTCAAAGCTGACTTAATCAAATCAAAGGCGACCCTGATGTCTCCTGACACTTTTGAGACTTTCAGAGCCGTATACTTGAGAGCTTCAGGAGTAATGTAATCAGCTTCAACTTTATACTTGGCTCAGAACTTCTCTTTCTTCTTCTTGAAAATTTCGATGACATCTTTCTCTTTGTAGGGAGGAAAAACAATTTTATTTCTCGACTAGTTCCATTTCTTTGCTGTTGTGCTGAGACACCTTGGACAGAAGGTCGACAGAGTTCGCAATGCCGATGATCGTCGTGTTTGTGTCAGACTTCAAGATTGAGTTCAGGAACGCAACAAAGTTCCTTGCAGACTCAGTCATCGAGAGATTATCTACTTCATCAATAATGATCAGTTTATGGTATTGTTTGTAGTTAAACAGCAATTTTTGAATTCTGTTTCCAAGGTCGATCACATCGTCGGTCATTTTAAGCTGAGACTCGATGTTCTTGGAGTCTTTGTTCAGGAATTCCTTGCGGAAGTCTTTAATAAACTGGACTGAAAAGTCATAGAGGTTTTTAAAAATCATTCCATTATAATTGAAAATGTGCAGTGTCTCTTTAAGATCTTGGTCTTTGTCCATTTCCATGTCCAGCATTTTCAAAACAACTCTGAGTATAGAACTTTTGCCGGTTCCCGGGTGGCCACTGATATACATGAGTCCAGACTTGGATTCTTCAATATTTTCATGAATATAATCAATAATTTTGTCTCTCTCGAATGCCCTCCGGTAGATATTCATGTCTTTGGAATTGCAGTTGAATTCATTGATGAACTTTGAGATTACTTTGTAATGTTTCACTGCTTTTTCAGGCAAGTAGTCCTGAATAAGCTTGGTATCTTCAAAAGCATCTTCGTCAACTTTTTTAAAGTCATATTGCTTCCGAGAATGCTTGGTAGGCTTTTCCTTTGCTTCTTCATGAGTTTCCAAATCCTTGGGTTTCCTCTTGTGGCCTTTTCTTGCATTTTTAGTAGAAATTTTGGAAGTCTTTGACATTTTATTTAATTAATTCTTGTAATTTAAATATTTTGTATAGTTCGGGGTTTTGGGGTTTTGGGGTTTTGGGGTTTTGGGGTTTTGGGGTTTTGGGG